TTTTATTATTATTATTATATATATATATTAAAGACATTTTTATATTTAACATTCTTTTATAGATACAGTATTTAAGTAAATGCTCTGTTTATAATAAATAAATTATTTCTCGGACATTCAGGCCGGTAAATGTTATTTAATACTGTTTATTATAAACAGAGCATTTATTAAAATACTTGTATCTATAAAAGAATGTTAAACATAAAAATGTCTTTAATAAATTGTCGGACTTTGTCCAATTCTTAATGTACGACGTCATTTTTTTTACATTTGATACGCCATAAAGCTATGAATGTACGAGATTCATGGAAGAAACGGAGTTTATAAGCAGTAAATTCGTGACGATTACTGAACGCTCCTTTGTGGCGAGAAGTCCCGGTTAAGGTACGTCAGCGTAAATGACGGTTCCATTATAGGATGCAGGTTCGAATCCTGTCAACGGACGAATATTTTCTGAAAATTTCTCGAAATTCAGGCTGGTAAATGTTATTTAATACTGTTTATTATAAACAGACCATTTACTTAAATACTTTAAGCGATAAAAGAATGTTAAACATAAAATGTCTTTAATAAATTGGCGGACTTTGTCCAATTCTTTATATATATAAAAAACAGACCACTTTTAGGTTCCATGTAATGAATTGTTTCCCCACAGCCCTTTTAAAAGGACTGCGGATCATCAGACTTACTTCAAAACAAAAATGAAAAGACATTTATTTTATTTAAATTATTTGCTCTGGATTTACATTGAGCTCTCTTAGTTTTATCCCCTTAGGTTTACCCATACGGATTACCTAGTTTTTCATAAAACTAATATATATATATATATATATATATATATATATATAATCGACTCTCCGTCGCGTTCGACGTATGAGGGATGGCCGAAGTCCCCAGGAAACCGACATCCCGACACCGGCACATGAGATTTGATTATAGTGGTGATGGTTTCGTGCAGGACCAGCCACACTTTCTATGTTGCGTAGGCCTCAAAAATCCACATTATAACCAAAACGAATGGTGTTTCTCCTTCTCTTTAATCTGATATATATTCAGGTAAAATGACAACAAATGGAGTATGATTCCAGTGTACGTAACATTTAATTTAAAAGAGGACTCAATAAATATTATTTATTTTAGGATATTAAAACATGTTACAAAAATCGTTACACAATTACAATTATGTTCCAACAATATATATGTGTCTCTTCAGGCGATATTAAACCTTGTAGCAAGGATTGTGGCAGCATTCACTAACATGGGGACCGTCCAGATGAGTTGCAAGAGATTCCGAAGGTTGCCCGGTGGCCGTGGTTGAAAACAAGGGCGATTTTATTAAATATTTACTCTTCAGTATTTCAAGTTAATTTTGTGTAATTTGGTAATATATCTGTTAAAATGAAATATCAGTGTTATTTTCATTTTGCATAATTTAGACGGGGCAATTTATCCATTGCACCCTGTATTATTTTGTCATAAAGCATATTTTCTATGAAATTTCGAGAACATTGGGGCCCATAAACGTAATTAATACTGTTTAATTAAAAACAGACCATTTACTTAAATAAATTATATCTATCAAAATAACGTAAAAACAAAATATATATATATATATATATATATATATATATATATATATATATATTAAGAAATATACACAATATCTTACATTAATGCTCAACTCTGAGTTTCATGCCGAAGCAATTTTAAAGTAGCGGAATACTGGTCTAGACCTTAAATATAAATAAGAATAAAAATAAATATAAAAAATTGCTTGGCATGAAACATAAATCTGTGCAATTAATATAAGATATTATGTATACTTATATTAATATTGATAATTAATAGCTCTGTTGCATTAACATTGAGCAATGCTTTTTACATTATATTAAGTATTTATATGTATTTGTATACGCTCGATCGATCGCTTGCTCGTATACCTACCTACATATACCCCTTAGTTACATATACATACATACATTCGGTATATATTTAAAAGACATTTTTATGTTTAATATTCTCTTTTTATAGATACAAGTATTTAGTAAATGCTCTGTTTTAATAAACAGTATTTAAACAACATTTACCGGCCTGAATGTCCGGAGAAATTTTCATAGAAAATATTTTTTGCTGACAGGATTCGAACCTGCATCCTATACGGAACCGTCATTTAGCAAGGTCGAATTTACTGCTTACAAACTTCAATCTTCCATGAATCTTCACGTACATTCATAACTGCTCATGGCGTATCAAATATAAACAAATGACGTTCTACATTATGAAATAAGAATTTGTGGCCGAGAGGTTAGGTACGTCAAGCTAAATGACGGTTCCGTAAGGATGCAGGTTCGAATCCTGTCAAAGGATGAATATTTTCTATGAAAATTTCTCGGACACTCAGGCCGGTAAATGTTATTTAATACTGTTTATTATAAACAGAGCATTTACTAAAATACTTGTATCTATAAAAGGAATGTTAAACATAAAAAATGTCTTTAAATAATTGTCCGGACTTTGTCCATTTATAATGTACATATATCTTTCAATGATAATCTTATTAAGCTTATCAGACAATATGAAAGGAACTTACTTAAAATAAATAGACAAAACTTGTCTATAATATTAAATATTATAGACAAGTTTTGTCTATTTATTTTTCATGTTCCTCTATATTGTCTGATGTTTATAAGATTATCATTGAATATTATAGACAAAGTTTTGTCTATTTATTTTAAGTAAGTTCCTTTCATATTGTCTGATAAACAATAAGATTATCATTGAAAGACCAAACAAAATAAACTATGAAATCTCCACAAATGTTCTTAAATACCTATGATTGATAACAAAACCCATTGGTTTATACCAAAGGCTTCCTATACTTAATACTTCTCGTTTTCACTCTCGTGTGATGTCACGAGCTGCGCTGTGATTTTCGTTTCTGTGTCTCGTATACACATGAGTTTGTCGTTGCTTTGGAAATCTTTCATACAACAAAAAACAGACTATCATTATTGTTTTGTCCATGTATTTTTTAATATAATGAAATGTAATTCTCATTTTTGACAATGGCTTATGTAAAGCGAAACCGTAGATAGGATTAAAAAAAACATGTATCAATATGGTGATTTCCTTTCGTCTTTCAATGATAACGTTATTATGCTTATCTGGCATTATGAAAGGAATTTACTTGTATATATTATTTAATGAAACATGCATCAATGAAAAAAATGCTACCTAAATACACGCACAATATATATATATATATATATATATATATATATATATATATATATATACCCAATGCAATGAGAACGAAAGTAATATATAAATTCTAACGTTCACAGCATTAATTCAAAAAAGAGGGCTCAATACCAAAAAATAGAGCGACGATTATTTATTATAATTTTATCATACAGAAAAAAACATTTTATTCACTACAAAGATGAAACTTCGTTTCGGTGCATTTTCAATTACCTCGACGGGTGAGAACCGAAAATGGTTATGAACAATACTGCTTGTAGGCAAGCCGTATGTGAAACGTCGCTTCCTTTTTTCCATTTGTTTGAGAAAAGAATATACATGCAGCAAAAAGGTGACGGAGTGAAAAACAATAGTGTTTGTTGATGCACCAAAACGAAGTTGCATCTTTTGTAGTGAGTAAACTGTTTTTGTGTAAATGATAAAATTATTATATATATAAAAGTGAACACTATTCCTTTTATGTACGCTCTGTCTTCAGGCACTTTATCCCATAAATATGTGTATGTATAATCCTTTCCTAATACATATATACTGTTTTATTATTATTATATTAAAGATATTTTTATATTTAATATTCTTTTATAGATACAGTATTTAGCAAATGCTCTGTTTATAATAAATAAATTATTTCTCGGACATTCAGGCCGGTAATGTTATTTAATACTGTTTATTATAAACAGAGCATTTACTTAAATACTTACCTATAAAAGCAATGTTAAATATAAAAAATGTCTTTTTATTAAATTGTTTGATTCTGTCCAATTTCTTAATGTATGACGTCATTTGTTTGCGAGCATTTGATACGCCATGAGCAGCTATGAAATGTACGAGATTCATGGAAGATTGAAGTTTATAAGCAGTAATCTGACCTGTCACTGAACGCCTTGTGGCCGAGTCGGTTAAGGTACGTCATGTAAATGACGGTTCCGTATAGGATGCAGGTTCGAATCTTGTCAACGGACGAATATTTTCTAGAAAATTTCTCGAAATATCTAGCCGGTAAATGTTATTTAATACTGTTTATTATAACAGACCATTTACTTAAATACTTGTAGCGATAAAAAGAATGTTAAACATAAAAATGTCTTTAATAAATTGTAGGACTTTGTCCAATTCTTTATATATATAAAACAGACCACTTTAGGTTCCATGTAATAATTATTTCCCACAGCCCTTTAAAAGGACTGCGATCATCAGACTTTACTTCAAACAAAAAATGAAAAGACATTTATTTTATTTAAATTATTTGCTCTGGATTTACATTGGCTCTCTTGATTTTATCCCCTTAGGTTTACCCATACGGATTACTTAGTTTTCATAACTAACTATATATATATATATATATATATATATATATATATAATCGACTCTCCGTCGCGTTCGACGTATGAGGGTCAGCCGAAGTCCCCAGGAAACCGACATCCTGACACCGGCACATGAGATTTGATTATAGTGGTGATGTGGGCCGTGCAGGACCAGCCGCTACCTTCTATGTTGCGTAGGCTTCAAAAACCTTTAAAAAGTATGGTAAACAGAAATTTCAAATATCGTAGATGACATTTTAAGACTCAATAAATATTATTTTTATTATTTAACATGTACATACAAAACTGTCATATTGCTTCAAATAAAAATATTTTTTAACGTTTCTACATCAGGTGGAAACTCAAGATCCCTAAAATATTTTATTTCACTGCAGTTAGCGATACATCTTCCACTTCCATCGTGGAATATCTCATATGTATTTGGATGTAGAACGAAGGAAATATTCCTTTGGAAGAAAGGGAAGTAAGGTCGCAGTTAAGGGTTCTATGCCGACTTCAATGGAATTCAAAGCGAATCATAGTTTAATTTAAATGGTAACATAGCAGGATCGTTAATGTTTCTAAGACAAAACGATGCTTGGAGACAATTATTCATGGAATGTGTCAGTATTTTATGGTGGACTTTCTAATATCCTTGATACTAAATTGATTCCTATTGTCCTTATTAAGGATGAAATTTTAATACTATTGCTCCATTTAAGTTCATATTCATTCCGAATTATGAGAAATCGAAGCCACATTCATTCAGAGACATTCATTTAGGTGCCTAATACCCTTGGGGATGGAAGGTGAAATAGCAGGAAAAGACTGGGTTCTTTTACTCCTGGCAACTAGTCTGGGAAGGACAACTCTGAATTCAAAACCTTTGTAGTGGGTCGTTTGGGGAGATAATAAGATTAGTGTCATGTGGCACAAGGCCTTTTAACATCTCCAGGCCTGTGGGCTCAGCCAAAAAATATCTCATTGAACCCTTATAAATGTTCCGGATAATAATGTTCAGCCTCTATCTATCTGAATCTGGCTGACTGGCTCCATCTGAGGATCTACAGGTCTCTGCAGTTTTCTCTTCAATCAGATTCCTGCACAAAGTCTTCACTACTATCAAATAATGAGCAGATTGCCTGGCTGTTTGTTCCTAGGGTTGCTTCTAATCTGTCAAAATATGATGGGCCAGCATATATATATCTATCTATATATATATATCTATCTAATATATGTGTGTGTGTGTATAAGATACTGTTCTAGTGGCATTTCTCATGAAACCAGTTATCTCACCACAGTTGATTTTCAGGAAGGAGACTTCTTATATATCTATCAAGGTCCAATCACAGTGTGTGGCATTTTTGGAAATCTCTAGCTTTAGACCCGCAGGGTTGACCTGGAGCCTTCTAGTGAAAGTGGGTAGATGGATCTGGATGACCATAAATAGCTGTGCTAGCAAGTCACAAGTCTATCTAACTTGTGTCAGATTGTTTTTAATTTCTCTCTTTCTTTCTATCTATATTTCTATCTACCTGTTTTATAAAATATGCCTCTACATCTATTAATCTATCTATCTATCTACCTAGTAGATGGGTATCCTTGAATCTATCTATCTAATTGAGTCTGTTTATATCTATCTATCTCTGTGTTTTTCTATCTGTATATCTATATACCTATTTATATTTATGATTTCTATCAAATCTATATATCTTTCTATCTATCTATCTATCTATCTATCAAAATAGGTCGATAATTATTTATCTATAGTTTTGTCATATAGACAAAACCATTTACCACTATTGAGTTTGGTTTCAGTGCATTTTCTATCGAAAATCTATGAACAATCCTGCTTTTAGGTGAAACATTTCTTTTTTTTCCATTTTTTATATATCTATCTGTTTTTATGTTATATCTGTCTATCTATCTATTTTACATAATTTATATCTGTCTATATACCTATCTATATTTGGGTTTTAACTTTCTCTCTCTCCCGTATTTCTCTATCTTTGACAAGGTATCCATCTTTTTCAGTTGTCTATCATTATAATGACTATTACATTATTTTCTGACTATTACATTATAATTTTCTGACTATTATATAATACCATTACATTATAATTTTCTACTATTGGATATAATTTTCTGACCCTATCTGAATTTTCACTCTTTTTAGTACCTTCAATATTTTGATTAAAGTAATTCTGTTTTTACGTCAACGTTCGTCACTCTTGGGATATTTTATCTTTTTTGCGGTGAAAAAATTGATTTGGTTCTGCAAAATTAGATATTTTCGGATTTTTCAGGACTTATTCACAAACGATTTAAAATTATTTTGAATCCTCTGTGTTTTTTTTTTTTGTTTTTTTAGTCCTGGTAAAATATTTTTTTTACATTTGTTTTACTGCGTAGGATTTCTGCTAAATTTTTTGAAATTATTTTCTTTAGCTTAATGCTTATATTTGTTAGAAAGTCATATCCTCGGAGGCTGTAAAAATAAAATCATCTTTACTTTTTTTTTTTTTTTTTCTTTTTTGTCAAGCAAGAGCCCAATTTTCAGAATATCTATATTGTTTCGTAAAATAGAAAACTAAGACATTATTTAATTAGAAAAACTTTTAATGGCTTTTTTAGAATAAAATACTATTTTCTGAAGAAAGAAAATTTTTTTCGATGAATAATGTATTTTTTGCAAGAATTAATTTTTTAAAATTTGAATAATTTATAAAGTTTTTAAATCTTTTAAAAATTTGTATTAATTTGTAGATGGTAAGGTGATATCGTTATTTTCATTTTTACTAATTATAAAATGGACAATTTATCAAATTCATCAGCCCAATATTTTCAACAGAATTTTTAAATGATTTTTTCATGTATTTAAATTTGCCGAATTTTGTAAATATGGATATGTCTATCTATCTAGAATCCTCTAAAATCTATAGTAAATTAAAAATTTATTGGTAATTTTCTTAAATTTCCGAAAGTGTCATCGCAAATATTATAAAAAAAAACTGGTCTTTAAACCAAAATACTAAGATTCAATAAAATACTAGAATATTATAATATTATCATAAATTTTAAAGATTTCTGGGTAGTTAAAAAAAAAAAAGTCCTATAAAAGAACGCGTTGTAAAAAAATCCAGCATTGCCCCTTTACTAAAAAAATGTCAAAAAAGTTATCGATAAATCTTTCACCACTGCATAAAAACACCCTATTCCTTGTTGAAATGATAGCTATATTTAAACTAAAAAATAAGTAATTTGTTTTAATTCAGATCTTAAATAATCTTTTATTCATTAAATTTTCTTCAAATAAATTAGAAAAATATATGTTATTATTGAAAGATTTTAATGATGAGATATGTTTATAGATTTAGCAATATTGTTGATTATAGTGATTATAGCAATTTAAAAAAACAAAACAAAATATTTTAACCAATTGTCTATTTGAAATATATTAAGTGTTTTTCTTATTCTATCTATTAATCTATCTATCTGCATTAAAAACTAAATGAAAACAAATCAAGAAAGATTTGTCATTTTTAAATGCATTTTTTATACTTTTTCTTTTTTAGAGATACATTTAGAATAGTATATATATGTTTGTATATACATCTACAATTAATGATATCTATTTAAAAAAGTGTATTTATGAATACTATCTATGAATCTATCAAATTATTTGTAGAATATATATGATATCTATGTATTTGTTTATTGCTTCCTACAGGCTGTTTATCGCCAAATACCAAAAGAGGTTTGCATATTGTCATCTATCATCTTGTTAAATCTATCAGAGTAGGGATGATCTATGGATCAAAATATCTTTAAATACTATAAATTGTAGTCTCAGCCACGACATATGCAATCTTATCTATCTATGATAAGAATCTATCTATCTATCTCTATCTATGGCTATTAATATCTATCTATGAGGAATCGATTATCTAGAAGAATAAAAAATCTAAAATCTATCTATGAAATTAAAGAATAAAAAGAAAATGATGCCATTAAATGAAATATTGAAAACCTATTAATATCATCTAAAATATTTGTTCTCAGAGTTTCTATTATCTAGGAAGATACATTCATCTGATCTATCTTTATTCATATACATCTATCATTCATCTATCTATCTATCTATTCACATCTATTCATTGGGATTCATCTATCCCATTCATTGAGATCATTCAATCCATCCAAGAGTGTACATCTATATGGATCTGAATCTATATCTATCTATCCTATCTAACATCTATCAGATCTATCTATCGCAAGATTAACATCTATCTCAGACCATCAATCTATCTATCTATATCCTATCTATCTCCCCTATCTACATTATCTATTATCTCTATTAATATCTATTCATCCTATAAGCATCTATCTCAGAGTGCATTAATACATATCTTTCATCCATTTCATTCATCTAACACACTAGTATCTATGGATTCATTATATGTGATCCCAGTCTTTATACATTCTCCATGGAATTTTCTCATCTATCATCTATTTTTTTATTTTATATCTAAATCTATCTATTAATCTATCTATCTCTCATTAATATCTGGACTCAGCCTATTAATACATCACATCCATTCATACGCATCTATCTATCTATTCAAAGATAAACTATTAATATCTATTCAACCTTTTAATATAAAGTTTGATCAATATCTATCTAGTTATCTATCTTTTATCATTATGCTATTATCTATCTCATCCCACTCAAACTTTGTTCAGATCATTGAAATCCCTCTATCTAACACCATTCATTTATCTATTCATCTTAATATCTATCTTTGTCATTAATAATATCCAGTTCCATATCTATCTATGAATCTATTTATCTATCTATCTATCTATCTATCTATCTATAATATCTTCACACTTATACGTACTCAGATCAAATATCTCTCATCATTATCTATCTATGTATCTATCTATTTATCGATTTATTCATTATCTCTCTCGTCCGAAACACTCTATCTATCTATCTATCTAAAATCGGAACATCTAACAACTAACACATGTGATAATCTTATTTGGATCTGAATATATCTATTTCTTTTTTATCATTTTCAATACATTTTCTAAACACACACATTCATAAAAACATATATATATATAGATTATTCATATAACATCTCATCCACAGACAGCTCGATGCGAGCTTTAGTGCGTTGGCTAACATCCGTTTGTATTTAAAATGTTATTGAATACTGAGTTAGCAAAAAGCGTATTTTGTCGGATTTTGAAAAAGTGCATCTACTAAAATATATTCGGAAAGTGCGTCAGGCAAAAATGTATTTTTTTTAGAAACACGCAAAGTGATAAAAGTGACTCATTTACTTTCGAAAAGAATCGCCATAGCTATAATCCTTTTGAAAAACTGATCAAACATGAAAATGTCTTAAAATAATATTCTATCCATTTGATAAACTTAAACTCAAAAGCATATATATCTCTCTCTCTGAGGGTTATATATATATATAGAGTAATTTATATATATTCGATATAAAACTACAGATTGATAATCTCAGAAAAAAATCAATATATATATAAATCAGTAGTATATAAATTTTTTAATTAAATTAAATAATTTTTCGATGCTACCAAATTTTATCCAAAAAATTAAAAACTTTTTTGGCATATGCCTGATGTTTTTATGGGACACAGTCGAAGTTCATTATTTGAACAAGAAGAATGAAGAAAGTTTATTGTTTTAAAATAATCATCCTTTCCATCAGAGTACCTGATTTTTTTACATTTTTTCCCTTTAAAAGTGTTTCACCGTCCAATTTTATCTGAATTATCTTTATTAATTGATTTTTTATAAAAATGATTAGTAAAATATATATTCAAAAGGTCTGAAGATTTTTTCCCAAAATTGCTTTGGGAAGGATCCCAAATATTTAGGTAAATATGTTTTGTTTATAAAAATGTTTTTAAATAACTACTATGGGTCCTGAATGTCTTGAGAGAAAACCAAAAAATATACTTCCTTTACTAGGATTTCCTTGCATCCAATACAGACGAATTATAGCCTGAAATGCTTTTTTTAAATAATTCCTGTTAAAGATCGTTCGGTTAACGGAACCATTTCACGAACCAACAAACATCAAAGCCTATTTTCCACGTACACTCATTAACATCTGAAAGTTTTTTTTTTTTTTGTATACAAATGATTCACAAGATTATGAAATGGTCCTTTGCACCTCCAGAAAGTGTATGGTTCCTATTTTGTTTAGTCCCTCTTTTCTTTAATAAGTATATGTATAAAAGAGGTTTAATTCGTTTTTCCAGTTTTTATCTTCTTGACTCAAAAGAAAAAAAATCTCTTTCCATCTTTTCTCTCTAATGATCTTTTCCATTTTCTCTGCAAAGCGTATATATAAAAATATATATGAAATATATAATTTTGGTTAATTTATTTCAGCAAGTCGTATTTGCTAATCCAGTATGGATAATTCCAAATTTGGAGGGTGTAGAGCTCAATGAAAATCTTGCTTTATCAAGCAGAATGCGATACTAGTTTGCACAAGAAAAAAACAAAAAAAATTTTAATTATGATACAAAATTTTTTAAAAAAATGGACAACATTATTAGAAAGAATTTGTCGTATGAAATGAATTATAATCAGTTGTCTTTTTCTTAAAATTGACCTCTATTCATTATTATAATATATAAATATATATATATTATACATATATATATATATATATAAGTTTTATTGACAACGTCATGGGATAAATTTGCGAATATCAGAAAAGGCATTTGCATAAATTTAAATATAAAGTGAACATTGGTGGAAGCACTAAGAGGGCAATCCAAACATTCATGTAATTAAGCTTAATTGACAGTAGAATGCCCATTCGTGTAATGAAGATATCTATATGATGAGGAAAAATGTGACACAAATAAATTAACGATTACCTTCATCGGAATTGGGTAAAGAGGGTCCTTAATTAACATCCGGCAAAGACGAGAGATGCTGGGTATTTTAAATTTAAAGAATTTCTTTTTACAGATAATTTAACCAAAAATCTATATTCTCTCTTTTTGTTTCCTATCTTTGTTATTTTTGCAAATCATTTCACCAGCCTTCTCATCTCTGTTGTAAGAATCTGGATACACAAATTTACTGTGGATGAACTTTGTTTTAAGACATTTTATAAACATATTACATTGGTTAGTTTATTTTCTCTTTAATTTCAATACTTTTTATGCAAAATTATGGTAACTTTATATTTGTTGAAAAAAACCAATACGTTTTGATAGAATTTGTTCTATCAAAATGGATATTTTGACGTTGTTCATTATGTAAATTTTATTTGGTTGTGAGGTTTTTCAATAACAACCATGCCTAATCTACAAGGTGATACTTTTAAATTAAATATTTGACTCAAAATGTAATCGGAATTGCTTATGGAAGGTTTCCATTCCAATAGACCGGTTATAAACCAAAACATATACAAATTTAAGATATTTTTTATGTTTATACATTCTTTTTATCCAGATGGGTTAATTAGGTAAATGCAAATGTTTATTATCTAAAAAAATTTACCGGCCTGAATGTCCGAGATATTTAAATAAATAAGGGTTGATCCAACAGGAATCGAACCAATCAATGAAATATTGATTAACAAAACAGGTATGTCTTTTGTTTAATTACATTCTCTGGAATATAAAGATAAGCGTTCGGCAGCAAGGACCAGTTTTATATTGTCTTTTAAAATTAATCCCTACTTTATACCCGCTGCTTGTTTCGTTTCAAATTCGATTGTCCTGGGTAAGACGATAAACTTCACATGCAAAAATGGAGGCTTTCCGACAATTATTTTAAGATAAGTTGTATGTTTATACATTACCTTTATATATATGGTAACCTATTGGAAGGTTCAAATATGGGCAAATAGTTCGAACTTTATCCATTTTATTAATATATATATATATTTAATAAATAATACCAGTAATAAAATTGTGTCTGGAATTATACACCCCGTCAAAACAAAATAAAGCTATAATAAATTAAACCCAAAATTTTCAAGGAAAACTTCATGTGAATTTTTTCAAATCTTGAAATATGCATTAAAATCCATTGGCTTTAGTCATGCCTTTGTGCAGGATAAACCACTAATACCTTAATTACATATTCTATTCATACAATATTGTTAAAATCTTGTGTGCATGTAAATATTTAATGTCATGTTGATATGCCGTAGTAAACCAAGCGCTAAACCCAAAGAATACATATTTTATTCCTTTGAATCTATCCTAAAATCTTGTCAGCATTAAATAACCCATTGAGGTGTTGATAATATAAGAAAAAAAAAATAAACCAAACCAAACTAAACCAAAGAATACTTTCTTTTATTCATACGAATCTATCCTAAAAATCTTGTCGGCATTAAATAGCCCATTGAGTTATTCCTTAAAACAAAACAAGCCAAAACAAATTCTGATGAGGCATGAATCAACCCTCCCCTCTCCAGCTGGGTTAATTAGCCATTTGTATCACGAAATCATTATCTCAAAAGTAATTCGTACAATCTAAAAATATTTTATGGCTTTAAACAACCTCCAAAGGTTGATAAACCCGTAGAAAACGAATCAATCAATCCTCAACGTTGATGATCTGGCGATTAAAGCACTTTCGTTTTGTTTTCTCTTTTTAATGAAAGTAGCGATCTTTAATCGAAATTCTGTTCGATTGCGCAGAAGCGACAAATGCATTAGGTGCACCGTAAGAGATATATAAACCCAGTCTTGATGCATAAGATTGGAGACTGTATTTGATTTTTTACTTTTTAATGACTTCGTGCATCATGATTCCTAGTAAGAAGTGTATGCTTTTAAATGTTCGTGGAGACGATAGGCTAAATCTTCAATTAACGCACCTCTCTTTCACCTGTTGGTCTGAGTGCTTGACGGGCCCGGGTATGATTAATATTTCTGGCATCGGCGGTCGTCGGAGAGAAATTATTTACAGGCGAATGACGACATCGGTGGAAACACGGCGTCCGGTGCAATATTCAGCCAAGCATGAAGCGAAATAGTTCATCTCATTTGGAATGGATTTAAATAAGCAACCTCCTCGTGCATACACACAAACGCGCACACCCACGCACTCAAACACACTGAACACATGCACACGCGCATAACATGTAAACACACATATCGAAGAGAGTACGCCGACAGCAATGATGCGAACGCTTTTACTGTACGTGGCTTGAGATACAGAGTTTAATTCGTTCAAGACTAGCTCATAAATTAAGACTCGTATCGCCAATCAATTTCTTCACTGAAATTAAGTATTTCGATCCGTTTGAGGTCCCTAAAATCGCTCTTATTTTCATAAAATCACCCTACTTTCTTAAAACTCACCCTTACTTTCGTATTTGTGGTTTTTCTTAAAAGCAAATCCATGAATAAACAAGAAAAGCAGTTCTAAACATAAAACAAAGAAAAAAGTAATTTGTAAAAAGAAGTGAACTGTATTAAACCATAGAAATTCAGACGGGTCATAAGCCCTAATTGCCGGAGGAGATTGAGAGAGAGGGATGACAACATCTAGACCAGCAACCTAGCCTAGTCTACTGTGCAATAATTAAGGTTATCACTTAATTTTTAAGTTTTTTTTAAATGTTTGCATTTTATCCGTTACTATTAACTAAATTTTTTTTGATTTTTTTTAGATTTTATGATTTTTTTGTATTTATCGTCAATGTACTGTCTTGAAAATAACTGCCCCCCGCCAAAAAAAAAAAACGTACATCACAACATAGATGCTTCCCAGAGTGAGATGAACACGTATACTGCGTATGGAAATACTCTGGAAGCTTGGCTCATATGTCAACTATCTATCTATCTCATTCATCTATATCTATCTATATATATATAATTAAGTAATTCATCGAGTCTAGAAGAAACCTCAACAGGGCAGAAAGCACTAGACGGCCGTTAAGTCCTTTATTTGGGACTCATCAGCAGTGCGCGCATCCACTACTGAGAAACTTGGACAGTTACGTTATCAGGCAAACGTCATACCAACT